CCAGCCGAGGGGATGCTACGGATCGAGGGAAAATTCCGATAGAACGGGAGCGGGGACGTTGGAGTTAAGTGTCATATGAGGTGACGTTGCATGGCGTTTGTTTTATTAATTGAAGTTTAATCAGCGACAGCTGCCAGCAGTCACGTTCCATTTCTCATTTTCCACTGTCTGCGAAAAGGTCAAATCCACTGCTGACTCTGACAATAAAACCATTTTAACTAACTCCATATTTAAGCCACTGCAAAGTGCTTTAAACTATCTAAGATCTCTATCCAATAATAGTGTCTTGCAATACTAAGCAGTCCTTCGCTTTTATCATCCTAATAACGTTGGTGCCCTAAGTTTTACACAAATTATTTTCGATAACATCTTCAGAGTCCTTTCTACCATCCGGCCTGACCTGGACCTTTTAATAATTTCATTTAGCGGGAAATTGTCTTAAGCCAAATTGAATTAGGCCATGGCCCGTTCGCGAGCGGCTAAGAGGGCGACCTTTTCTTTTCTTTTTACAAAGGACAACATTTTTGCTACACTGGAAATAAATTGATAAAATAAACTAAAAGATTTTGAATAGTTTTTCTACTATAACAATATTCTATTAATAATTTAAGAATTTAAAATATAGATGTGGTTTTAAAAATGAAGTATAATTTACAGTGCAATTAGTTCAGGTTAACCCAAGTCCAAAGCTGGCACTCAACTTGGCCTAATGGCGTTCAAGATGCTTCAAGGACTTGGCCTCAAAGTGGTCATTGTTAAGTGGCGGTGTGAGGGCGGTGCTACCTGATTGGAAATGGAATTTGAAAGTGGCACAGACGGTGCCCAAAACATTTGACCACGTAAAGCAATTTGCCAACTGCATCGATGTCAGCTTAAAAGCCTTGTCAAAACACAAGCCCGAAAAGGGGTTTGAACAAAAATCAGTAAACGCAACTGTTTGGCATTTTGTCGGGTTAAGAGCGGATGAAAAAGTCCAAGGACAAACAAAATGCAAATGTAAATAAGTAAATAAAATACATACGGCTGACATTTTGTTTTCAGGGGCGGAATAAGCGTGTGAAGAGACCGCCAAGGGGGCGTGGGAATTGTTTAGTGAAAATTCATTGGGCCAAAAAGCTTTTGCGCTCCGTATATATATTCTCGGGTTCTCTCCTGCTTTTCTCGATTATATGTATGCTTTTTTTGGTTCATTTTTATTTTTTGCCGAGCAACAGTTGCCAGCGGGGTTGCTACTAGCTAGCTGCTAGAAACTTTTCCTTGTGTTTTCAGACAGCCTGACAGCCCGACGGGCGGCACCTAGTGGCCGAAAACTCACAACTTTGATATTCTTTGGCCATTATTCTATTTGCAATTTTGCGCACAAACAACCCAGCAAATAAATAAGCAAATTGAAAAAATGCGAAACAAAATAATGCAAATAAACTGGAAAACTGAAAACTGTCGACTGTCAGAGTCGGGCGGGGGAAGCTAACGTAAGACTGCCATTTTGGCACATGGCAATTTCCGTAGAGTGCACATGACAAAAATTCGGAATGTGCATAAAAAGTGGCACGGCTCTGCTCCTCCCTGGAGAAGGATAGCCTCTCGGGGGAGCTGGAGGAGAATTCCTTTCGCAAACTAGCAAAAAGTTAAAAGTTTAATTGTGCGCAACTTTGGCCAGGATGTGATGTTGGCCCAGGCATCCGAGGCCAAAGGACATCTGTGACAAGTTCTATTAAGTTTATTTTATTTAGTCTCGCATTTTGCATTTAAACAAAGCAGAACGTGCCACCACAAGCTGGCTGTCAGAGCAGAGGTCCGGGTAGGTAAAAGAGTGTCTGAGGGATCTGGAGGAGCAGAGGTCACTCGATTGCATCGCACACACTTTTATATGGCAGGTTGCGCCCACTTGACTGCTCGATGGCCTCGACAGTCCGCCACTTTGCATCATTTCCAGGACTCTTGGCCAGCACTCTCCTTTTCTTTCCATTTGCAAACACTTGCCTTCAAAAACCCAAAGCAAACTGGTCATTTTGGCACTGAAAAAAATATTCTTCATCATTAATTAATGTTTTTTAATCAGAATACTTTTTAAAATTCATTCGATAGCAATTTTTTCTCAGTGTGCCTTTGGGGGAATTGGCTTTCCTGCGCATAAAACGTTTAAATGAAAGAAAAGCAATATGTTGCCGCCTGCAGATGACAGAAGCACAGGAGCTGGATGCATCGTCAAGGATCAGGGGCTAAAAACGGCTTGAGGTCTGTGTAAAATATTTACCAACCATCAGCCGCTGTCATACTTTTTTAATTGACTTATCAATAATTCATGTGCCAGAAACACACACTCACACACACGTAAGGAGCCAGGGACAGGGGCCAGGATGAATACTCATAAATACAAATGAAGTCAGAATGCAGTGTGCAACTGAATAGGATGAGGCCGTGGCACGGGCAGAAGTAAGAAAGAGGTGAATTGCATTTCCAACTCTTTTCCAGGTCCAGGTCAACGACTCACCTCGCATTCAGCCTCGTGTCTTGTGTTTTTTCCGCCCAGCCGGAAGATTGCCTTCGTTTACTTTTCGACTTGATGTTTATTTTGATTAATTTAAGTCTTCTATTTGGAAATATTTTTCATTTTCATGTGCAACTTTATCTTTCTTGACTGTGAATCCCAGCATGCTTTTTTTCGGAGAAAGGGCAGCAAGAAGAACCAAATGATTGATGCATTTTTAATGCGCTTTTCCGAAAAAGGAGTTTCAGGAGGTCCCAACTCTCAAAGTATATGCATTTTATAGATTTCTATTTCAAGTTTCGTTTAAAGTAAATATTTAGGGGGGCAGATTTCGAGAAATAATTATTTGCGCAACCTGAGCGGTGGAACTTTCGCTTCGGGAAGGACATTCCAATACCCACCTGTACCTCGAAGGTCTTTAATAAATTTTCGAAACCACCCACCCACAGAAATCCATAATGGTAGTGGAAATGTGGAAAGGAAAACAAAAGTAAGAACTTTTTTTTTTATCAAGGATAAAATCAAATTTAACGCATCGCTTGGAAAGGGAAGCCTCCTCCGTTTTCTTTTTTTTCGCCCCACAGTTCTTTGTATGCGTATAAGGCCACGTACCCACTTGACATGAAGGCGGTGCAGCGAAACGAACGATGGGTGGTCGGGCTAGGAGGGGGAGGGGTGTGGGTGTTTTAGGGGCACGTGCCGCACGGATTAAGCGTGGCATGCTGCTGCGCGAAAATATGAAAGGGAAGCAGCATGAAATATGTGTAGCATAAGACAAGGCGCATAATCAAAATGTAAGCAACAGCAGCAGCAGCCGCACCACCAGTAGATGCACATGCCACTTACACAAGTGCAGAAGAACCACCGCACTATAGGAAATATGAACACTTTTTCTGGCCAAAAATAATATCTCAAGAACGAAACAAGATATTTAAGTTCTGATTTTTGATTTGAGTTCACATGGTCAATAGATTCAATATTTTAAAAAAAGGTGGGCGTGGCACCGCCCACTTTTTAAGAATCACATTCTAACTCAAAAACTAAGCAAGATATTTAAATTTTGATTCTTGATTTGAGTTTATATGGTCAAAAGAACTCAGAAATGAAAAAATTGTGGGCGTGGCACCGCCCCCTATTTAAAAATAACATTCTAACTGTTCGGTTTTGCACTAGTCTCACAGCTAACAGATTCACATTCAAGGTGTTGAGGTTGCCTCCTTAAATTATGAGTTTCTTCGAAAGTGCATTTTTATGCATATTCATATTTCACTCATTTGAAGAAAATTAAACAATCTACAACATGGACTAAATTACATTGTCCGACTCCGCCAGACTTGGTTTAAATCTCTTTTTAAAAATGTGATTTATTTCTAAAAATTTCTTATGCTAGACTGCTTACATTTTCACTTTATTAAAAGGACAACACAATTTTTTTGGACACTTCACATACACAAACACACAATACAAACCACATTGAAAAGTATTCATTTCAAAACTTTTTATTTTGTCCATAAAATTTTAAGTATTCGTGTTTTTAAAATCGCACCAAAAAATCGTAAATTCTAAGCTCATGTAAATGTTAACATCAACAGCTGTTTTTAACAGCTGTTTTCTTCGCAGTGGCGCCATCTATGAAAATTTCTGGTATGCAACATTAAAAATTAATCTATTGTGAATGATATGCAGTTAAAATTATTTAAATCCTTTAACTTTCAAAAAATGGTTTTTGGCCAGAAAAAGTGGTCAAATTTCCTATAGTGCACCGCTCCACCATCCTGCAACGCCCTCTCCTGCTTTCTGGCTTTATGAAGCGGCAGGCTCTTTTTCTCCCCCACCTGGCTCTGCCCCAAAAACAAAGGGCATCACGCAGAAGTCTTACGCCCGAGCTGTCAGTTGATGTAGCGCACCATTATTTCAGGGGCGAAATAAAGAAGAGGCTTAGGTGGGGCGGCAGTGGGTGGTGGCTGCTGGTGGTGCTTGCATTGGGCCAGCACTCGACATATCGATCATCCTTCCATTGCAGATGAAAATCAGGCGAAAGTCTTCAAGTAAATCAAATGAAAGGGAAGCTTCGAAATGAAAATGGGTTGGAAGCTATGGGAATTATTATACCACAGACGTGAAGTAAAATATTTAATTAAAAAACATGTTTTTGGGTTTCTCTTAAAATGTATTTGTGGAGTGGCGCCTTTTTTGTCTTTCACATAAATTCAAAATTCCTTTAAACTCGAACCCCTCGGCATAGTCCCAGGAATCATTTGCATGGACTTTGCTTTTATAAATAAATGCAAATTTTATCCCCAATTCTAGTACTCTACTTAGTTGGAGAAACCCCCAAAAGTTTTCGCATCTTTTCCGCAATTTCTTGCCATATTTCAGTATGCAGGATTCCGTATTCCCAGAGCTGTCACTTTTGTCGCAATTCGCCAACTCTTTTTACATATTTTTTTTGCCATTTTTTATGTTTATTTTTTTGGGATTGAGAATTGGAATGGAAGCTGTCACTCACCTCTTCCTCATTGCTGGCCGTGTTCACGGAGTCCATGCTCTGCGAAAGTCCCAGCGGGACTAGGGCCATCTGGTTTTCCATTAAGTCCCGGCTGCTGCTGCTGTTGCTGCTGCTGCTGTTGGTGTTGCTGTTGCTCAGGTTGTTGTTGCTGTCGCTGACGGTTGTTGCCGATGTGGTGGCGGCTGTTGTTGCAGCTGTGGTGGTTGTTGTGGGGGCGCAGCTAGTGGCGCTGCCGGCCGGCGAGGGCGTGGTCGGTGCGGAGGCGGTCGCGGAGTTGGACTCGTGCGAGTGCGATTCGTGGGCGGGACTGTCCGGCAAGCTGCCGCCGCTCGTCGGCACAGCGGCAACGGTGGCTGCTGCTACTGTTACAGGTGCTGCAGTTGCAGGTGTGCTTGTGTTGCTTCCTTGTTTGCTGCTTGCGCCGCTGCTGAGAAGGATATGTTGCTGCGACTGTTGCTGCTGCTGTGGCTGCTGGGCTGCGTATCTGTAGTAGTGGGCCAGAGATTGCTGTTGCGCTTGCTGGGCTTGAGCCTGAGCCTGTGCTTGGGCCTGGGCCTGGGCGTGCTGCTGCTGTTGCAAGTGCTGGTTGAGCAGGGCCGCTGCTGCCGCCTGGTTGAACTGTGTCAGACGCTGTTGCTGTTGCTGCTGCTGCAGTTGTGGGGCTGTGGCCACCGCGTAGGCCACTTGTTGCTGCTGCACCTGCTGCTGCTGCACTTGCTGGGCCTGCTGCTGCTGTTGCTGGTGGTGGGCGGCAACCGCTGCGGCGAACTGAGTGGGATGGGCGAAGCTCAGCGAGTGAGCGTGGTGCGGATGCGAGATCGAGTGGGGCTGGATCGAGTGCGGATGCGAGTGCGGGTGACCCTTGACTGTAACGGGTACGGTGACGGGCAGCGGCACGGAGACGGGCACTGGCACCGGAACGGTCACCGGCAGGACAGAGACTGCGGCGGCACACTGGCGCTTGGGCGACGGCGACAGAACCTGTGGGGCACTTGCTGGCGTCTGCGGCAGCGTCGGCCTGCGTTTAATCGCAATCGACGAAATGGTGATGGCTTTTTCAAACACCGCCTGCTGGTTGTTGTTCTGGCTTAGGCTGTGGGCGTGGCTCTGGCTATTGCTGCTAACCGGGCTAATCGGGCTTATCGGGCTAATCGGATGGCTAATGGCTGCTGGCGTCGTCGTCGCTGCTGGCAACAAGTGTTGCAGTTGCAGTTGCGGTTCGGCGGCTGCTGCAGCGGCGGCGGCGGTGGCGGATATGAGCAGTTGATGATGGCTGCCCAACAGGTCCTGGTAGTTGGCTATTTTGACGAATCAGTGTAACTGCAACGAGTCAAATGGAAATATTTCCATTAAAAAAATGGTTTAGACTTTGCCCCCTTACTTTCGTCTTAAATAATTACTTAGAAAGTGGGTATGTGTGTTATTGTTCTTAAGCCTATTCAAATAATATTGCGATATAGTGTTTATTTAACAAAATTCAAATGTTTACAAAAGGAGAATTGGAGCTCGGGAGTAATTCTATGTTTGGGAGGCAGAGAAATGCCTAAATAAAACAAATATTAAATAAAGTAGTCCAAAAACAGAAAGTCATTCAATCGACAGTAAGTTATAGACTGGAAAAAATATTAAATGAATTATAATTAATTCATTGTGTCAACATCAGTGTAAGATGCCTTATAATTTCAAATATGCTAGGCATATGTAAGTACAAGTTATGTGCCCTAGTATCTTTTTGTTTCTTTCAGTGTAGCGCACATTTTCTTACGCTTATCACAGTGAGACATCAGCAACTACAACAATAACAAGGCCAGCTGCTGGCAACTCCATTGCGTAGTTAAGAGCAAAAAAAAATTTGAATACACAGAGGCAATGGCAGCGGAATGGGAATAACAGCAACCGCAAGGCAAACAAACAAACAAAAACATAGATACTCACATACGTACATCCAATATACACAGAAATGTAGAGGAATATACGGAGAGAAGACTCTCCAGAATACTTGAACATGCCAGAGTTAGGGGATATGGGAAACAACTTGAAAATTGAGCTGACTACAAACCAAAAATTGTAATACAAACGCTCGCTCGAGCTGGCAAAAATATGCACATAACTAAAGCTCAGGGCTCAGGGCTGGAGGAATTGTTTGGGGTTTGTGTTTGGACTCGTGTGTAAATATGCAGGCTAAAGGTGGAACACAAACAACCTTTTAATACAGGGACAGAATCGAACCCACCCCATCTGCCAATATGTATTCCTTTCGAATCACTATGACGCCTGTGAACTGTATCTGGTATCTGGCGAGTGTATCTATGCATCTCGGTTGGATAAGACCCCGAAATACTTTGCATATGTCATATTATGCAAACGATAAACGAAACTGAAACGCCTAAGACCACATCGGCTGTTAGGAGGAAGTTCGGCGAGACCTAATACGATTTTAATATGACCCCCAACAATCAACGGACAAACGATGATTAGAGGATGGCAGCTGTTTTAATCCCGTATGATTAATAATTGATAGAGAATGCCAAATCACCGATCCGACCGCACCATGCATATATAATAGACAATGAAGCCTGGTCGGTGGTGTGTGGGCTCTGCAAACACTAAACACACAAGTGTGTGTATTTAAATGGCATCGAATGGCGTGAGATTTATGGCCAAAAACTGCGGACACTTTGCGATTAATGAGCGGCCAACCAGGCGTATGCTTATTGACCACTGAACAAGGGGAATATATCACGAAAATAACAATAACATATAGTTATGGCACTTTGTACACATATTTAGCGTTTATGGATTTGGTATGTGGGCTTATTATTCTATTGGACAAATATAAATGAAATTGATCCGGCCGATATGGCAATTAATTAATTTTTTTGGAACTCTACTTGTTGCTGCACATTGTGAGATCATAAAGGCGATACAGACTGGATAATTAAATATAGACAGTGCTTTTTCCCAAAAGTACGGCCCTGAGAAGGGGGCTCTTTGATTTTCTATTCTCTCTGCTAAAATCTGAATTCTCAATGCACTTTCGCAGCAATAAATAAATGACTAACACCGACAATGTACTATTGTGTTTACATAAGCAGGCAGCAATGGCAAAACACAATGGAAAAAGCACAGGCTGAGGCAGTGGCAGAGGGGAAAGGTAATAGGTAAAAGGTAAAAGGGGAGGGAGGCTCAATAGAAGCCGGAGAGTAACAATAATGACGCTTGCCATCTACCATTTTTGTAGTAGTTGTTTCGGTTGTCTGTCTATTCCATTGCCATGGAAATTAGTCAGTAAAAACAAAAAAAAAAGTACAACAACAGCCAGTCATAAATATTGCTAATGAATTTCCCGCACGCTTTGCTGGGCTCGGAAACAACAAGCACATGGGGCAGGCCAGATCGAATCGAGTCTCTCGTTATTTTTTCAAACTATGCTCGAACGGAAGTTGGGAGCGGGAGCATTTGTTGTTTTTGGCATAAAATAAATATAATTAAATGTAATTTTTATAATGACAAATGCTCTGCTGTCTGCGGCGCGCCTCCACCGAAAGGGAAGTCTATCATGGCAATTACGGCAACACAAAGCCCAAAAAAAGCGGCTATAAAACCGTAACGAATTGGAAATTGTGTATCCAAAAAGCCGGAACGAAATCTGGAGCAGCCACAGCCACTGAAGCTCGAGAGCTAAATTCACCAATCAGTTTCCAAAAAAGACTGTTAGAAATTCAAAATAGAGCTGGGATCACGGATAGCCGCTGGCAAAGTCGATTTGACTGCTGCTCGCTCGATTAGCTGGCAATTGGCTGGTACCCTATGATCCCCTCTCCGTCTCTCCAGAGATTCATTGTAAAAGATACTGCCTCACACGCGGGCTAATAGATGCACGCCCACGACCCTCGGGGGCTCCAGCTCGATGATGATCGGCTCGGAAACGAGTTTCTCCATAAAAATAAAGATGATTTTGGCCAGATCACTTGTCAGCAACTGAAATCACAATTAGCATTGCTAATGCGTGAGGATAGACGAAACTTTGAGTACTCAGGCATCCGTAAGTACACTGCAAGTATCTGCAGCTCCCACGTGATTTGCGTCTTCGTAGATTGTTGCGCATTCCGTACATTGTCGGATAGTCAGATACGGATTGTTACAGATACTCGTAAGTCCCGCGGAAGATGCAAATGTATCTTGTTTCGTGTCAAATGCCCAAATTTGTCAACAGTTGGCTCTGCCCATCATGACGACGATAATAACTATGGTTGTTATTATTAAACACGATCCAAGAGCGACACTTGGATGAGCTGACACGCCTAGTGGCACTACAATAATAACTCCTCTCCTCAGGCCAAGTGGTTCTGGCCATAAAACGAGGGTAGAGTTATTCGCCCTGTCATGGTTATTGCTCTACACTCGCATTGCATAATTAATATTTAATAAGCCAAGTCAAGAGCATTGCCAAAAGTTTTCTCGAGTGAGATATTCTGTTTTCCAGGTCCTCCTTACCCCCAGAACCCCATGCTTATATCTACTCCATCTGCTTGTTTCAATTCAAGAATTTATTTGTACTCTGCCGGTCTAAGGGGTTTCTTAACTATGAGATACAAAATATCTTACCCATCTCTTAGCCAACTCAAATTCGGTAGATACACATACAATCCAAAAAATGTTTAAATTATTATTAATTTTAATATCATAATAGTTTTTCATAATTTTAAAGCCCTCTGGACTTGTTTTTCTTGATTTTTAGAATGTTTAGAAGACTTATTTTTAGGTTCTTGGTTTTTGGTTTCCAAGGTTACAGCCGTAGGGCATGAAAAGTTCGGCTTATAAGCCCAGTTTCCTCTCCAAAAATGTTTGTTTTCGTTTTCAACTTTTTTCTACCGACAGAGACGCTCCGATAGAGACATAAAGAATATGTGAGACAGAGAGGGCGCCTCAGTTTTGGCTCGTTGGGATGCTTATGTGCCGCATATATTATGATGCTCGAGAAACATTTTTTATATCTTGGCATGCTCCAATTCTTTGCTGCAAGAGCCCGGCTCATGCCCCACGGCAGCGTGTCTCTATTTGCCGCAGGAGGCGGAGGAGGAGGAGGCAGGAGGGTGGCAACTCGAGGATGAACCATTCCGTATGAGTATCTGTGTGCGCAAGATAGTTGGTTTTGCAAACTTTTTATTCTGCCCTGCCTTCAATTCGACTTATTATGTACTAGGATATATGGACTCGAACACAAAAAGAAGAGTGTTTCTCCTTCGTTTTTCAGAAAATTACAAAATCCATTAAGTTGCTTGCACGCAACTTAAACATAAATCCATCATACGCCATGTGGCACACACACACATAGACGGAACAAGAGAGCTAGACGCAAGGACAAGTTGCCAGCGAGGGGTGGGTGGGATAGGTGCATAGCTATAGCATAGCATGCACTGCCACGCCCCCTGCCTCTGCTGATTCGGCTGCTTTTATTATCCACGCCATATTTAATGCACAAACATTCAGACACTCGAGTAGGTAAGTAGGTTGGGCCAAGTCTACATCAACGTCTGTATCTGTGTCCAAAGTCATAGTTTGGTAGCTCGGTAGGAAGACACTATACGTATGTATCTATCTATCCCACCGCCTGCAGGGCTTTCAATTTAATTTCCTTGCCATCTGACTGACGAACTTTGGCTGACGCTTTTCGATACTTTCGAATTTGCTTTCAATGAGCGAAGCAGAGCCCTGCCTCTCCGGCTCATGCCCCTTTGGATGGGATGTGTATCTTTTAGCTGATAGCTTTAGATACCATAAATCATAGAACCGATTACGGCAAATTGCAAACGTTAATGTAATAAAACCTCCGTCCAAAAATTGCCAGCGAACTGGGGGAGAGAGATGTGAGAAAAAGTAAAACTCACGTCTTGGGAGAATTGAAGCAGAGCCGCACAATAGACAGCTTGTGTCTTCAGAAACTAGTTCAAAAGTTCAAGCGAACGAGCGGAGATTGAAAGACACCAGAAGACACGATCGCAGAGAAAGGGAGTCGGAATGGGACTTCTGTTTTGGTCCAAAATCTCAGGCCCACTTTTGTGAATTTGTAACGCAGTCCGGCTAACAATTTCCCCCGAATCTGAGTCGGTCTTTGCGGTTGTTTCTGTTTAGAACACAGGGCCAGCCACACCATCAAGCGTCCGAGAAACCGCAAATCAAACGCCATGTTCGTCAGTGATTTTCGTGCCGTTGACAAGTACTATGGTATACCTTATGCATTGATGTGCCGTATCGATGGGCGACAATATGGCTTGATTGAGGTGGGAGAACCACCCTGCCACCCCGGCT